CCCCCCCCCCCCCCGCCAAAAGAAAGCTCTTTACTTTTCTGGTGTGGCAGCTTATTGGATTTACGAAAAGTTCCAAAGAAATTACAATGCTAGAACATCCATCCGAGAGCTTGAGGTCCGTGCTAAACTCTGAAATCAATATGGAACAAGGGCCTCTGAATAAAGCTTAACTGAATTCTGACAAGAATTAAGTTGCATTTTGGAGTCACCATGGATAGGTCTCATAAGGAAAAATCTTGATTAACGTTTCTTATGAGGGAGGGAAAGTCAAAAGGGATGGTAAGAATTTCCATTGTTTGAGTCCACCCCACTTTTCAAGGATGTGATTAAATATCTCCCAGATACTCTACCTTGTCATAAGCTCGGTCTAGTAACAGGGACCCAAAGTAAAAGAAACTCCCTCCTGAAGAATCACTGAGCTCCTATGCCTGGCATAGAGATCGAAACCTGAGCCCACGGGCTGTACAAACCCATAATTGAGTCAGATTACACTTTTTTAGTCTTATTACTCAACCAGGAGGGCAAGAAATGCATTTTAAAATGGGGCAGGGGTGTGCCTGAGGGGTTAAAACAATTTCCTAAAGCCCAAAGAATTTCACAGCCCTTGGAAGGTCCTTATATTCAGAAAAACCACATATGCCAGAAATCTTGCCAAAATTAATCTCAGAATAACATTCATTCCATTACCATTCCCTGGGCAGGCCCAGGGTGCTTTACAGGATTGCCCCATTTCATCCTCACAGGCCTTTGGGAGAATCCTGCAATCATCCCTATTACACTGTGGAGGAAACTGATGCTTAGAAAGATCCAGTAACTTTCTGGAGGAGACTAAGCATGAAGTGATGACATCAGATTCAAGCCATGTTCTTCATACCTGTTATCCTGTTTCCCAACACTTCTCAGGGTTCCTAGCTCTAAGAGACACAGGAAAAAATGAAGGAGGCTGTCACCGCAGCCCCGTGAATGGTAGCAAGAATCAACCATGCAGTCCGAACAAAGGACAGAAAATAGAGACAAGAGCTACAGAAAAACACAGCAGTCACTTCATATAAGGACAAAGCCATACGTGCTTCCAGAAGCTCTGCTGGCATCATTATCACAGAGCTCGCTGCAGTAAAGAATTTCATGTGGTGGTCCTAAGTCATTGTGAATGACAGCCCATGCAGTCTGCTTACAAAAGACAGGGAGTTCTGTAATTTTCTCTTTTCAGTAAAGATTTCAAAGGTTGATATTTGAAGTATTCTCATTTCTTTTGAGATTTTTTAACGTTTATTTTTATTGAGATACAGAGGGTGAGCATGAGAAAGACAGAGAGAAGGGAAAATGCAGAATCTGAAGCAGGCTCCAGGCTCTGAGCTGTCAGCACAGAGCCCGACGCGGGGCTCCAACTCACAAACTGAAAGATCATGACCTGAGTCGAAGTCGGACGCCTAACCGACTGAGCCACCCAGGCATCCTGAATATTCTTATTTCTTTTTTTTTTTAAACATTTATTTATGTTTGAGACAGAGAGAGACAGAGCACGAATGGGGGAGGGTCAGAGAGAGAGGGAGACACAGAATCCGAAACAGGCTCCAGGCTCTGAGCTGTCAGCACAGAGCCCGACGCGGGGCTCGAACTCACGGACCACGAGATCATGACCTGAGCTGAAGCCGGACGTTTAACCGACTGAGCCACCCAGGCGTCCCTGAATATTCTTATTTCTTAAGGAGGTAAGCTTTGGTTCGATGAGCTTTAAGCTCATATGTAATTGCTCCCTGAGATCAACAGGACACTATGGTATTCGTGTTTATGTTCCAAACAAGCTAAAAATGTGTACTGTCAGCAAAGACTATGGGACCAGGGGTGTGAAAAACTGAATATAGCCCCAGGTCTGACACCAAGGATTGAACAGAAGAAGTCATTTTCCTCCTCTCTGTGTTTCTGTATTCTCACTTCTAAAATGAGGAGTTAGACAAATGACCTTTTTTTTTTTTTCTTCCCAGCTCCAGCATTGTGTAGTACTATTATGAGGCTATCTATGTTTAAGTTAAATTGCCTTTAGGGAGGAAAATGGAATAAAATTGAACCTAAGAGATGCACAAACTATACTGAATCCCTCTAGATCTTAATCTTAACAAACTTTCAGATCTGTGCTACAGAGACTTGAGGGCTGCAATGAGTTAGAGCCGTCGGGTCACAGGAAGATAGATACCAATGAGACCAGGAACTTTGCGATGAACTTGAACCTTGGGGATCTGCAAGGCTATGTATAACTCCTAGGACCTTGCACCCAAGGTTCTTTTACGTAAAAACGCCCCGACACCGTGGTGAAGCCATGCTTCTTTTGTGGGTTTGCAAAAATGCACTACTTTTCCCACTAACAAGTGCTAAACAGATTAAAAGTACGCAGATAGATAGCAAAGAAATGCATTTTATATTTTTAAAAAGTGTATGTTCATTCATCACATTGATCTATCTTCTGATGTGTATGTAGCTTAATGTGTGTTCTTAAGTAGCCTGGTAAAAACTGAAAAGAGTGTGAGTACTTTTTAGCCACTTACTTATGTAATTAAAGTATAGTTGTTGTGTTCTTTAAAAAAAAAACCCAATTATTACCTCAGTCAGTATTACTATTCATTTTCCTTTAGGGGAAATTCATTTCCTTCTATAATGAAGGGTTTATTTCTTTGCATCATTGAAAACTTGCTGGGCATGGTGGTAAGAAAATGTTTGAGTGGGTAAGAAGTGATTCAAAGGGGCCAGGAGTTTGAAAGAGCACGGACAAGTCCAGAGGCCCTGCGTTGTTTCTTTACCAATACTGGCAAATTCAAATGCAAGGTGAGACCTAATAAGAAGAGGTATGACTATGGGAAACCTTCTGATGTTCAGGGGGTGATGTGAGAGCTTGTACATACGTGCTTGAAAGCCACAAGGTGATGATCCAGCAGACCACTGATGGACCCTCCTCATGCCTTTCTGACCTCATGCGAACAGGGAACAGTTAGAAAAAGTTAAGGTCTGCCAATTTACACACACACACACACACACACACACACACACACACACATACACACTTTGAAATCTGTGGAGAAATAAAGATCCGATGACTACATTCTATCTGGAGTGACTGGCATTCTGCCAAAGAAGGCATCTTTGCAAAGCACAGGAGGCGCGGCAGAGGGAGTCTGAACTTACAATGTAGCAGGGCTCACAGTAGGCTTTCTTCTCCACGGCATAGAAGGGCTGTCCTCGGAGCTTGTTGTTGCAGATGATGCAGGTAAAACAATCCACGTGGAAGACCTGATCCATGGCGGTGCATCCTGTCCCTTCCCCAACTACATTTTCCCCACAGCGAGCACAGCGGCCTGAAAGAAAGAAGGGATTGACTGCTAAGAGCACACCAAGGAACACCTTCAGTCCTTCTGAAGAAGCCAACATGGAGGAGACAGCAGGTTCACAGTGGCAGCGGCAGCAAGAGGGCTGACACCCCCACCACCGCCACCACCAGGCGTGAGATCACCAATATAGCCAGGACTCACCTCTGTGAGGCCGCCATGATGGAGATTTTACACGAAGCATTTGAAAAGCTCATTTACACAGCTCAAGGACCTACAGAACGTGACAGAGTAGAACTCAGGTCTCCGAATGTCGAGGCCAGGGCTGTGCCTCCAGTCTCACACACAAGTCTAGGAAGAACATGACTCAGCATAGCAGCAGTGGAAGGCACAGCCTAGGAAAGTCTTCCTGCTTAGAGAGTCTACGTGTCCAGTTAGACTGTGAGGGGACTGGGTCCAAACTCAAACTGCGCCTCCTTTCACAAAAGCCCAGGTTGTAAAATCTCTCTGCATCCAGCCCTCAATGACAGATCAAAAGGGAGTCCCTTTTATTTCCCGACAGCTCTGACTGCTGGAAAGTTCTTTCTCATACTGAGACAGACTGCTTCCTCATGCTCACTGCTACCCGGTAGTCCCAGTTCTGTCTTCTAGGGCCTCATTAAGCAAGTCTCCCACTACACTTGACACCCTTTAAGTTATTACAATCCAGTTAGTATTGCCTCCAAGTGTGATCATACTTTGAACGCCCCTAAAACCTGTAACAGATTCCACATACTTGTCGGGGTTTGAGTCCCGAAGGCCCTGGTTGTCCCTGTCCAGCCCAGCATTCTGTAAACTTTCAGCATTCTTAAACTGATTTATGGGGCATGTGGACCACATATGGACATCAGATTTCGGTTTTAAAAAAATCATTGTTTTAAATAGGAACAATAAAACATTACAGAAGACAAATATTTATGTCAGCGTGAAGCCCTGTGCTGGTTGCAATCTGTATCTCTATCTGGTTCCGTCATGGGAATCTTGAGCCAGAGGTCAGATCCACATCCAGTTTTCTTTCTTAGTCTTTATTTCGATAAGTAAAAAGTCTTTACAAATAATTACAGGTCGCTGGGAATGTCAGCAAGAATCTGCGCTGCGGGCTTTGACACATAAGCTGTAAGCAAACCCAGTGTTTCCCACGTGTCAGGCATTTTCAAGGTGCTTTATATACATGTTAAGCTCATTTCATAGTCACAACCACCTATGTCATAGGTCTGTTGCTCTCCCTATTGTACAGGTGAGGAAACTGAGTCACAAAGATGGTCAATGAAATTCGAATCCAAGGAGTCTAGCTCCAGCATCCATGGTTTTAACCACGATGCTGTTCTGCCTCTGTTTCGTTGTGTGCATCGGGATTGAACACAGAGCTGACATGACGGAGAGATTTCTCATGAAGACTGCTTTCAGCACTCCATCCACTGGATTGACAACCATTTCACACCTAAAAACGGGAGGGCTAAATGTTTCAACTTGGGAGGAAAGAGCCAAATATATTTCTAATCCTCTCTGGTTGCATTGGCACTGGAAAATATTTCTATACATCCTGTTGCAGGACTTCAATGTATTTTTAAAATATAACCCAAATGACAGTCCATTTTCTCCTGGAGCGATAAGAAATATCAAGTACTGGAAAAAGAGTTAAACTCTTGGAAACTGACTGCCACTACGGTAGCTGATACTATAAAGTCCTGATATCATATTCTTGACATTGGATAAAAACTTTTGTAATAAACCTTGTGGTTGTTTTATAAACTTCTGCCCAAGAGTCAACTTGTACCTGTTTTTATTATGAGATAGATAACCTTAGAAAAGTGCCTTCAAAATTTGGAACTTAATTGCCTTTAGTAACAAAATTAGGTTATTGCATATGGCTCTTGTTTTGTGATTATTCAGTAAAGAAACCCGGCTTAATTGGTTTACTAAATAGTTCACTGTGCTACGTCTCAACTTGATGCTAAAATTAGAGTTTCATGCCACTATCTGATATTTCTTTACAGAAAACACACTGGGATTATAGGCAAATGGATCAGTTCATAAAGTCTAATGTTTAAGGAGTCATTAGCATAGTTTAGTATTCAAACTTTTCTTTTTCAACTGCTTGGGCAAACCCATCATATCTGTTTCACAACATACAGATTCGCTTCCAATATTTATATTGGAATCCTTGTTCACAAAAATTTACATTTTTAATATTAATCTGAAGTGGTATTTATGGTATTATCGTTATTACTATTTTTCCCGCCTTCATTGAATCATATTGAAATCACTGATGTATTCTGGCGAACTAAAGAAACAATGCAATACAATAGTGATAATGAAAAATATAGGTTTAGCATCAGCAGGAAAAAAAAAAAACATACTAATGACATGAAAATACTCTGAGCTGAATGGCACTGTTGGTGAATACTGGTCAAACAACACCAGTCAACAGAGGTTTTGTGATATATGTGCAATCTTTTAAGAATGTGATGATTATTAACAGTGGATTGGATACCTGTGAAAACTGTAATTTTACATTTCAGATCTGTTAAATTCAGGTCAACAGAATTATTATTTTTTATTACTCTTTTCCTTCCTAGACCTTAAACTGGGTTACTTGACAGTCCACCAGGGACTACACAGTGATGTGTGGACCACACTTGGGGAAACAAAAAGAATTCTGGCTAAATGTCATGGTGGTCTATGAAGCAGCTGGAGACAGCGATTGTGATCTAAACTACAGCTGATCCACAGCATAATCTCTGGAACCCAAGAGCTCACTCTACACAGCTTATGGAGAGTTTGCTAGCTATCCCCGAGGCTCTGGGAGAGAATCTCAATCACCGATTAGAGAGAAAGATCAGGGCAGACCCCTAAACGTCAGGCTGAACAGAAAATCTTTGCAATTTTCATTCTGTTCAACAAACATTCCTCAGGTATCTACTCTTGCAAAGTACCATATTCTGCTTTTCTGTGATAAACGGAAATGGAGTAGACTTGGTCAGTGCCTTTCTTGTACTTGGTCAGTACAATCACATGAAAAAAAAAGGTGCCAAGTGCCAGAGGAGAAAGTGCTGTGGAGGTGTGGAAGGAAAATCATATGTGATAGGGGACTTAGGAAGGGTTCTGTGGGAAAAGATGCATTTGAGCCCAACTCGAGGATGAAATTGTGACAGGTGGAGAGGGGAGAGAGAAAAACATTTTAGTATTTCCAAAGGGAATGAGTGGCTGGACTTGACTGGATCCCACACGTCTGCAGTGGCTTGGTGCTGGCACAACAAGGGTTTGTCTTCTCAGCTATGAAAGCAGATGGGCTGGATTCATAAGGAACAATCTTCTCCTTTGTATTTTGGAGGATATTCTTCCAGAGTGGGTCAAGCTAATACGCTGAACCCAGACATGACCAGCTCTGCTGCCTCCCATATTTTTCCTATTCTTGGGAGAAATCGGGGACACGGGCTCGAGGGCAGTCAGTCTGGCACCTTTAGAATCACAAGCCCAGAAAAAAGAGCTAAGAACAAAAAACAAAAATAGCCCTACACATCAGCAGGACAGAAAAGGTGCCCGAATGTTCCCTTTTCACATTAACAGAATTTACAAACTATGCCTTTTCGGGAAGCACTCACAATGGAAAGAAAGTCACTCAAGCATGGTTCATCCTTGCCCCTAGAGGGGCTTATACTACACATCATTAAAATGCACACCACAATCTGAATGCCCATCTTCTGGACAAGTATTCAGCACTTTTAAATGAGAAAAACCAGGGGGAATGGTACCAGACTTGAAGGCATCAGAGCATGAAGGAAACAGAGTTTGATTAGGGGCCAGTAGGAAGCTCAAGTTCAGACCCAGGGCTGGTATGAGGAGCTGGTTGGCAAAGCTTAGCACAGTAATTTAAAAAAAACCAATGACAGAGGGTCAGACCGTCTGAGGAGAATTCTGACAGTGAATTAAGATGCCTAGATCCAACAATAAATAAATGAAAAGAACTGGTTTCTAAAGCTTGGTTATGTATTATTGCTTGCTAGGTATATCGCTTCATATCTGCTGTGGAACCCATTATGGGTTCTTCTCACCCCTTCCCCCAGTCCCCTTTGCTAACTATAGCAACCTCTGGAGTGTCTCCGAAAGGCTTCTATCTGCAACATGCCTACTACCTAAATCAGGCTCCATTATCATTCATGGGCCATTGCAATGGCTTCCTGACTACACCAGTATCTCTGATTCACTTCCTCTTATAAATGGAAGGGCTTTATGGAAGTCTTAGTATTGAGCTAAACCTGGAAGGTTATGCAGAATTCAAACAAGTCATTTTTAGGAAGGGCACGGGTGGAGAGGGATATTACAGGTAGATCAACAGGGTAAGCAAGGGAGGTAGATTAGTGGGACACAGGTTTTCATATTTATTGGTTCCAGTTTTCTCTTTTGGTAACGTGAATATATTTCCTTTATAATGTGAAAAAAAATTTTATTTGAAAATGTTTTTCCTGTGATTTTGGCACCATTACTATAAGAGGCCACAGGCCCCCTTTTCCAAGTCCTGCTTGTTTTGGGGGTAGGATCAAAAATGTCCATAGCCATCTTAAAAGTTGGTGATACTTTCAAACTTCTGCATTATTCACCATCAAAAGTAAACTAGAAAATGTATGCAGACATCAAGCTAGGTCACATTTATCTTCATGTCTCCCTTGCTATCTGAGTTTTAATAGAAATTTTAGGCACAAGCAAACGTAATATTCTCTTTTTAAGAATCACAATGAATTGAAACCCTATATGCTGATCGCATATCAGGCTTCTCATTACGCACTTTCTTCAAAATATTCTGAACAAAATCCTGTTTGAAAAGTTGAATCAATAGGGTTATATCAGGGTAATGAAGTCATGGTAAAGTATTCCTAGAAACAAAAAGATTGTTCCAATTTATCCTACATATGGCCACTGGAGTTATCTTTCTAAAGCAGATACTCCATTAAGCCGAGTCAGAAATTATCTTCTGCTGAAGGTAGAAAAAG